ATACTCATTTGGTTTTCAGCTGTTGTCAGTTGGCCGCAGCAACAGTAGCAACAACAATGGCAGAAGTTTTTTTTCTATTTTTTTTGTGTTTGTAATTGGTCAAAGTTTTCCTTACACCTCAATTAGCACTCAATTTTCATTCACAACGTGCGCATGTTGATGTGTGAATTTGTGCTCAATATTTATAGCCACATTCGAATATTCAATATCAATAAGCCACGCTGAATGCAAATCAAAATTATTTCTTAACACAAAAATTCGTTATCAATGGGAATAAGCAGATTGTTATTAATTTTATTTAGCAATTATTGTTAATAGCAAACAATTTTTTATTGTTGTGATGGCGTTTCTCTTGATTCATATTTGATACATATTTTCTGGAATATCTGTTAAATATATATGATAGATTCATCTTTCATATGTCAACTGGAAATTTCAATTTGAGCTCGTTGAATCTTGCTTGATTAAAAGCTGAACATAAAAAACTTATGATTCTTATAAATTTCATGCTATGCCTAGCTCTAGTTGCTGTCAACGGAACTGACAGAAGCAACTCTAGCCAGGCTTAGGGCTTAGGCAATTAACGTTTGCCCATCTCAGGTTGGGCAACATTGAGTGGGCACCCGGATATTAAAAACAACATCTGTTGTGCTTAAAATATTAATTACTTAGTCAAAGCAACTAGTTTGTGCTGCAAGACTCTACAATATCCTGTACGAAGCTTGAAGAATGAAATTATTAGCATGAATAAGAATATTTTTATATTTATATCTTTCAAAGCTTATAATAAGTCTTCCAATATACAATATATCCTATATATTTTCTGATGTAGTAGAAAACCATAGCCTGTCTAACCCATATTCTTACACAATTTTGAATATTCTTAGAAATATTTTGCCGCCCTTTTAAAGCTGAGCTGTTCACCCATTTAACTTCTAAATGTATCTCCACCTCATCATGCATCAACTCTAAAGTGCATGATGTACTATATTTTAGAGCTGCATTCAGTACAACCCTTCAAAAGCACAAAATATAGGGTATATATACTTGCTTAGCTGTATACTAAGAAAGCCCTTTGATGTGCACAACCGGATATGCCTACTATCCAATGAAGCTATCAGCGATTGTCCACTATAAAAAGGAGCCAAATGGGCGTGGTCCAAGGCAGCGTTGAGTGCTGACTTCCGTTTGTTGACTTTGTTGGCTCGACAAGGCGCGCGCGCGCAATCGTTTTAATTTTGCATCTAATTTCAAGTTTGATTTGCATTGATTAGGCCCTGTTCCTGTGTCGTGCTCCGTTCTGATCAGTTGAGTGATCATTGGCCAGTGATTGGCGGCAGGAAGGAAGCAAGGCCACCAACTTGGCACGGGTCAGACAACAGAAGGTTGGCTGTTGGCTAGCATATCCCGTCGCATTTCTCTGTTGATTGCAGCCAATTTGCATTGAATTAAATGCAGTTAAGATGTCAATTAACACGTGCTCATTGTTGGTCAATGATCGCTTTTTGCCGCTTTCCAAACGGATCTCAGTCCGCAGCAGCCCCTCCTCCAGCCCACAAGCCTCTTTCTAATTATTTCTATAATGCGCTTTAATTAACGCATTAAAGTTCAATTGCAATTAATTTACATAGCGTTAGACCTCAGTGAAATTCATACAGCGGTATCCATAACGGATCGTATAACCCGGCGAGCGGATGATGAACCGCAAACTGCAATCAAATGCCACAATCAATATGAAATGCATTTTTGCATCGGAATTACACTTAATTTATATACCGATTCAGCTGACACTTGTCTAATGCAAACAATAACTGCACAAATCAGTTAGACTAATCGTTTCAATAGTGAATGACAGCTTTTGATTGAACTAATAAAGCAGGAATATACGAGGTCAGTTTAAGAGATTTAGCGACTTTCGATTTCCTCGAGTTACGCATATTCCATTTTCGATTCTTCTGAGGCAATATGTTTATACTCATGTTGATGAACTAATTTCTTTCGAATGTGATCACGTTCATGGCAGGACTACGCTTAAAGAGACGTCGAAGGAGAATTGGAAACAATTTTGGCACAAGTTCAAAATATAATAATATATTATTAGTTTGAAAGGGATAAAACAGATATGCATAAAATATTACATTTTTTTTTTTTGAAAAATACTCCATATTTTTTGAGCAGATCTCATATATGCCACTGACATCGTTACAGATGCTTGGTCTTAAACTTAGATAACTTAGGCAAAATACAATTGCCTTTTCATTATTTTATCTAAGACTTGTAAACTTTTGAAGTTCTGTTTCACCCCTGTATATATTTAAAAAAATTTTGACTAACAAAGCTTACTTATTTAATATACATTATCTTTAGAATTATCTTTAGTATAAACTCGCTGAAAATTAATAGATTTTTGTGTTCAATATCTTTTCTGATTTATATTGAATTTTAAATTAAATTTGATTTAATTTTTTTATATTTTATATTCATTTTTAATATTTATTATTTTGTTTATGTTACCTAAAATTCACAAATTCATATAATTAATGTTGAATTAATACATTTCTTATAAAAGTCGACTCAATTCTGCCATTTTTGTCTTCAAATATAGAAAGTGCATTTCGTTATGCCTTTATCCGAGTTAGAGTTCAAGCTTATCTCGAGTCAGCCATAGGAATCTGCACAACAAATTAAGTTTGTACCTGGCTACGTTTTTTGTTTTTACCTTTTCATATTCTGATTCATATAGTGCTGCAGCTATGGCGAAATGGGCGGGATTGGTTGAAGATTTGCTGATGCAGATAAGAAAGCCGCATTGCGAGGTGCTGCGCCCTTTGGCTTTTTACCCGAGCAGCATTCCTGGAGAAACAACAACAACCACAACAACTGGTGCCTGGCATGATGTGTTTTTTCTTTTCAATATCGTTAGCGTAAAAGCTACCATATTGAAGTTGGAGCGTCTGGGTCTGGCCTGGACTTGGGGTCCGGGCTACACCTACCAGTCGGCCTGGCAGTCGAGAGAGCGACCTTATCGCGCCCATTAATCTGCCAAACAGCGACCCCCCCAAAAATAACGAAATGAAGCGCAGCGAAGAACCAGCGAAAAAGATGGTGGATATCCATGTAGAAACGGACTTCAACTTGGACGTGGATGTGGATGTGTCCAGGCTGCGGGCCAATATGGCGCGCATGTATATAAAGGCAATAAAACCCAAGGCAAGCTAATGAAAAGCAGCCCAAAAGCAACAAGAACGTGGCTATGCGGGGTTGTGGCGAGGTTATGTAAAGCGGCCCAGTCCGCATGTTAAATATTATGACCAGACCGCAAAAACAGAAAAAAAAAACAAAAACGAAGGTAAAAAATACAGAAAAAAGGTAAAACTTGGTTGCTACACTTTTGCTTTAGACTCAAGCAGCAGCGGAATAAAAAAAGAGAAACAAAAACGAATTCATATTTTTTTATGATCTTAAGTCATGCAAAAAGCGAAACGAATCAGAACGCGGCGCGCATTGGACGTGGTCGCGAATGACGGCGGCCATGACGCTAACGCTGACAGCTTGGTTAGTGACACGCCCCGCACCGCACTGTTCCGCAACGCACAGTGGGGCTAAAAACGCGCAAGGTGTGGCAAAAAATTAAAAAATTGAACAATTCAGATTTGTTTAATTTGATAAATAATAAATAGAAAAGTGTGCATGAAACACCCTGTACAAGTGAACTTCTTAACCTTTTTATGATATTCGTATATTTCTTAATTTTCTGAATATTTTTTTAAATTTTCTGCGTACCAATTACACATATTCATAGTCATAGAGCGTAGAGTGAAGAGTGTATTTCTGTCAACGCCCTGTGCAAACAACACCCTGTAAACATATACCTATGCCTATGCAGAAAGTCTTCTTAAAGCTTCATAAAGCTTTTCTCACTCTATATTTCTTTCCTTTCTTTATCTCTCTTTCTCGCTTTCTCTCTCTCCCTTTCCATTTTCTCTAACTCACTCGTTCTCTCGTTTCCTCACTCTATTTTTCGCTCTCTGTCACTCTTTAGCCCTCTCTTATTCTCACACTCTTTCTCTTTTTCTGCCCTTAATAGATACACCAATAAATGCATTTTAAATTTATTCAAAATGTATAGTATTTGAAAGGAAGTCAAAATACCCCACTGTGTGCCCACTCAAATAGTCGCCCCCTTCAGCCTCCTGCCTGCCTTGATTTTGTGCTCCTTCTGCTTGTGCGAGATAAGAACTTTTTATATTATTTATATTTCGGTATTCATACTCACATTCGTGATGGCGTATGTCATACAGCGAGTATATAGATATATAAGCAGAGTAAACTGAATGTATATATGTATATGTATCATATTATATATGCTTACACTTGCACACAAAAGTATTCGCACAGTTGATAAAAATAGTTTTGGGGCGCGTTTCACATTTTATAGATTTTTTGCATGCGCCATGCGGAAATGTCTGACAGACACGTAATGCCTGGCGACTGCCATTGCCCAGTACATTTTTCTATTCGTTATTCGTTTTAAGCCATTTTGCATATTCGAATTGAATATATTTTCCACACCACAGTTGCAATTGCTGCAGGAATTTTATAATGAACATCCAGCGAGCCTGGCATTTGCTGCTGCTGCTGCCACTGCTGCTAAAGTGCAGTCAAGAAATAATTGTTATTGTAAAAAAAAATAAAAATAAAATAGGAAGTACTGAGCCCGCAACTAATACCCAACAGCTAGAAGCTACCCTAGAATAGAACACAAGTGTGGCGAAGGTGAATTCACAAAAAAATTAAATAGAAGAAAAGAGAAGCGCAGAGAATGACAACAACAGAAAAATAGATGTTACTTATTCGGCAAGCCGCAGATTAAATGCCCTTGCCGACATATAGCAGCTGTTTAGTTAGCTCATCTTATTATCCCCTCTAAATACGTTAAATATTTCGTGACAAGATTATTAGAGTATACTTATAACAACTATTTATAAATGAGCACTTACATCTCTAGCTGTAGTTCCTTATGCATCTCTTGTTCTTTCGCTCTCTCGCGCAATGTATTGCTCGCTCCCTTTGTATGTGTAGTGCAAAAGCTCTGCAACAACAATTACGCGATGTGCAATTTAACGATTCTTATATATGTATTTGAGGTAAAAAACAATTGAAATAATGGATATTGACTATTTACTAACACACACAACATTTATTTATTGCATGTAACACAATAAATTTAATTTAATTTTGTTGTTTAACTATTTTATACAGTTGCAAACACAGATTACAAACGATCAGGGGGACAAACGCGCACAAACTGAAAGCCTCATTGGATTTAAAGCTTTACTAATCTCGGAAAGATACCTTTTTAATGTCTGTACTGAGATAACAGGATCTTAAGCCTTATGACGAATGCCTCTCTCGCTTTTGCTCTCTGCTATTACTGCAGCCTGCAGCTCCAATAGATAACGGGAGCAAAAGCATGTTTGGTTTTAAAATTCTCTTATACTGTCAGCACAATTCTTTATAAGAGATGTATTTTATAGAATTAAATTCTTTTATTATGTTATTTTGCAATACCTTTTCAATTTTATGATGATCTTAGCAAAGTGTATACAAAACGATTGAAAAGCAAAGTGACGAGAAAGGTCGTAACATCCACATGAGGAACAATCGGCGTACAATGCCATGGAATGGCCAACGATAGGAAAGGGAGTGAGTAAGAGAGAATATGTAGGTGGACTCGCGGGCAAGTAATCGTTTGAGACTTTTTTTCTGCAACAATGGCCGAACTTTCAAGTAGAGCGGGAGAACAGCGGAACCGTTCTGCAGGTATGCAAAGTACATTTCAGCACGTCCCACTTGGTCATGCAAACAAACACACATACCCACACCCACACCCAAACATACACACACAGTACGGCATACCTAATGTTATATGAGAATTTCGCACAGTGTCTGCAATTAGAAAATATTGTCATCAAATATTAAAAGAGTTAAATAAGTGGCTCGTCCTACGTCCACAATTGATGCCTGTCATGATATAAGAATGTAAATATACAAATAGATAGCATAACAAAGTGGTTGTAATTTATGGTTAGGCACACAGATATTAATTAGTTGAAGGAGTTGCTTTATTGTTAAAAATTTTCATTTCATTTGCGGCATTAATTGCACTAACATATTTATTAATTGTTCAATAGAATAGTATAAGAGTAAATATATATAAATATATCTCTAACAAATAACAATTATTAATATATATAATAGTTAATAAATATATAAAAAACTAAGAGGTCAAATATTACTTTTAATAAAAATAATAATAATATTTTAATATTAAGCATACTTTTTTACGTTACATGTTTCAGTACAGTATCTACTTGCAATAAGTTTATTTAAAAAATATTGTAAGCACGAGTTTTTCATCGATTGAACCACTGTTTAGCAAAGCTAAAGATGAAGATGACAAAAAAAAAGGAACATGCTAAAGAAGAAAAAGAAATGCAAATCCACAGAAGCTTTCACAACCTGACTGTGTGAGACTTTCGAAGTGCAAAAGCAATGAAGAAGAAGTAGAAGAAGAAGGTGAAAAAAGACTTAGTAGAAAAAAGTACGCCCAATGGCAGCCCTGCAGATGCGAACCCTTTTTTTCCATAGGCACAGAGGAAAGGGTGTAGAGGTAAGCGAAATACTCATACGCCCCGTTTTAGTTGGCTGCAGCGACAACTAAACGACACTCAGTCAGGTAGAGCCCAGGTTGTGTGTGTATGTGTGAGTGCACATGCTATGTAAATATATATGTACGAATGTGTGTGTATATGTATGTAAATGATGTATGCATGCAGCCTCAAAACCGCTTCAACTGTGCCAAACCAAAAAAAAAAAACATTGTAAACTCCAATAGCAGGGGAGTGTGTTGCATGTATGTGAGTGTGTGTGGCTGTGTGTTTGTTGTGGGGGCTTTTCGTCGCTTGGCATATTCGTGCGCAATTTCGCGTTTGACGAAACATATAATCTTCGCACATTTCTATGGAAATGAATGGATTGGTGAATGCCTTGCTTGATACATTGATAGATGGTCGTACGTAAGACTGGATTGATGGATATATATGTATATATGCAAACATATATATATAGGTATATATATATGGCTGTATGCAATGTGATTCGTATTGCTATTGCGATTGCTTTTACTATTTGCAGTGATTGCTGTTGCATTCGCTGCAGCAGCCTGTGCTCCTGTTGCTGTTGTTGCAGCCACATGCAAATTGGTTTGGCGGACGTATTCGACATGGCCTCCATGTCAGCCACACCCCGAAAATTCCCAATCGCCTGCTTCTGCTTCTTGGCTGTTTGCTCTTGTTGTTTTACCTCAGTTGTCGTCAGTTTTTGTTGCTTTTTTTTGTTGCATCGTGTTCTACTTACAAACGCACCCGACTCTCAAGCGACTCTCTCGGCTGGCTATGCAAATATGCAATTAGCTGGTCAGCTTTTTGCCATGGAGCGTCATGTTTGTTGCCATCTAACATGACATTCCAGCTGAGTGGCTCGGCGCCATCAATACGCCACATTTTCCACTGCAACAACATCGCAAACTTCAATCAAGCTGCTGAGAGGTGTTTTTTATTTTGGTTTTGGTTTTGTTTTTTGTTTGTCACCCGAGAGCAGCAACTTGACAGGGCCAACAATTACGATTAGATCAGTTATAGACAAATAAGAAAGTAATACTCTCCTTTAGAGTGTCAAGATCTGTGACTTGACAGTGTTTATAAAGCTAACAATTATCATAGTTGATCATCTAGTTGCCGTAGAACGTTTAGCTAAAGCGCAGCTTCAATCTTAAGTATCAACTATGAAACGTTCAATTAGCAATTGTTCTGCATAATTTGCTTAAGTTCGGCTTATGCTGCGTATACGCAATTTGCGCTTGACTCTTGAAGAGCTGCCATTTGCATTAGCTATGCAAACAGCGAGGCATTTAAAAAAATAATACAACTTCGAATGCTTACAAAACGTTCAACCGCAATGCGTACGAATGGAGGAGAAGATGTTGAAAATGAAGAGGTAGTCGTAGTAGTGGTACTAGTCGAAGAAGAAGAAGAAGAAACAGAGGAGAAATACAAATTTACAGCGGCATTCCAATGAAGGCGCTGAGCTTCTCCACGCTTTTAATACCCTGTAAACAGGTGGATGGGTAAAGGTGTGTTGGACAGAAGTATGTTATATATGTTACATATATTATGCATGTTATATACTCTATATATTTTATATAAGTTATATATGTCATGCATGTTATATATTATATATGTTATGTATGTTATGCATGTTATATATATGTTATACATGTTATACATGTTATATCAGTCATATGTGTCATATAACATACATGTTGTATATGACATGCATGTTATATATGATATATATTATTATGTATGTTATACATGTTATATATGTTATGTATGTTATGTTTGTTATATATGTTATATATGTTATATATGTTGTATATGTTATATATGTTGTATATGTTATATATTATATATATGTTATATATGTTATACATGTTGTATGTGTCATAATAATTATAATTATCTGTTATAAATATATGTAATATATGATTCTGCATTCAATCGGAATTATCAGATATATGCTTGCCTTAGAAGTTTATATAAGCTTGCGAAGCATAAAATCTTTGAGCGAGAGACAGCCTTAAATGTAGAACATCGAATCTAATAAACAAAATTAAATACTAGTGGAATATATATGAATTTAAACTATACATAGAGATATAGTGTTCGCCGATCTTCTTATGTTTTATAACCTACTAAAGGTTATGCATTTTTTCAATACTCCATAGTTATTTATATATACTATGACAGTCAGGCAACTTCTACTCCTACACACTGTACATACATGTGATACTCAATAGATATATCTTTATTTATTTCAGAACTATTTATTGTTGTTAACAGGTCATCTAACTAGTCAGGCAAGCTACTCTCTTACACTCTTACTTGCTTCTTTTTTGCTGCTTTTTTTTGCTGTACTTCATATCCGTATACTTATAGCTACACCTATACTTACCCATACAGCTGCACATGTACTTATGGTAGGTAGGGTTTCTGCTATAGGCGACGCCATGTTGCTGCTGTTACATGTTGCGTGTACGTGCGGTACGCGTGCATAAAGCCAGACACACAGATGTACATACACATACATATATACATATATATGTATATATACATATATATATATATATAGAGGCAGGTATATGCAGCAACTGCAACGCATTATGGCCGACGCTTGTGGCTTATATGGCATGACGTTGTCGTCGTCGTCGTCGTTGTTGTTGTTGTGGTGGTTTGTGGCAGCTGTTGTTGGTGTTGTTTTGCGTGCTAGCAAAAGGCGAACCACCCAAGCCAAAAGCCCAAAATGCGCACAACGCATCGGAGGAGCGAGAGCTGGCCAAACCGCATACAACTTATTTCTACTACTCGACGAGGCAAAAAAACACAAAGAGTCGCAGCTGAAGAAGAAGCAGCAGCATTGAGAGTGGGGCGAATACAACACAAAAAAAGTATAAAAAATAGCATTCACTGTAAGCAGCTAAGGAACTTGGCCAACAAGCACTCGACAGTGAGGCAAAAATTCTTGGCAAAAGTCTTTTTGGTTTTTGCGGTAATACAAACTATGCAAGCGGGTGTGTGTATGAGTGTGTGTGTGTGTGTGTGAGATGCAAAATAGTCATGCTGCAAAAGCCTACGCAGCTGTACACATATAGATGTATATGTATGTACATAGCTACTTTGAGCATCATTAAAAATGGCGTCCAAGTCGAGCTCTCAAATTCTCATAGTTGTTTCTTTGGCAGCTTTTCCAAAATGCGATTTGCCATGAAATTTTCAATTAATTCTCAAATTCAATTTTCATGCAACGCGCAAATGATTTATGAAGTGAATGAAAATGTTAACAACAACAACAACAACAACAAAAGCCAACTGCGCGCATTGAAAGTGTGATGAGAAATTTCATAATGACTTCTTAGCTCTCTAAACGGGCCGCCGCTCGAGCCAGCTATGCTACTCTATATATATATATTTATATAGCTATATATATATACCTCTATATATATAATAATAAGTGCAATTAGGCCATTGATGGTCGCAGCCGAGGCGGATGTGAAGGTGAGCAG